AATCATGGTCTGAATCCTCCAACCAAATATTGCCGAAATGACTGAAAAACTGTCCCCTACCCATTAGAAATACTCTAAAATCCTCCAAAGCCAAAAAAAAAAAAAAAAAAATGATCCCACTATCTTGTTTTGAAACAAATCTGTTGCTAGCCCAGTTTTTGGGACCCTTTAATTCTCTACAAGTAGAATGACACCAATAAAGAGAGAATTACGAGGAGTTTTGTCTGTTTTCTGCCTCGCATCATGATGTATAACTTTGTATTTTAATAGGGACATTGCCATACCATGAGAATTAGATTGTTCTAATTAATTAAGATAATGAAAATTCCTGCTTAATCATAAGCTTCATCTTTTTTCAACTGGTGACCAAACAGTCATTGGCTGGAAGGCAATTGTATTGCGCTTGATCTTTTCCAATCATAAATTCTCATACTAAAGAAGTAAATTTAGACCCCGTTCATTTCACCGATTCAAATTTATAATTTAGATTTTATTACAGTAAAAAGTTTTTAAAAACAGTTGCATTTAATTTTTTACTATAGTAAAAAGCTCTTAAAAACAGTCATAGTTAATTTTTTTTATTACAATTAAAAATTTAAATCAACAAATTGGCCCGTTCACTTCGCTGATTCGAGTTTGTAATTTGAGTTGAGATCTAATTTTATGTGAGAGCTTTTTACTTTAGTAAAAAAGTTAGATGTGATTGTTTCTTAAAGCTTTTTACTGTAGCAAAACTCAAATTCTAAACTCGAATCGGTGAAGTGAACGAGACCGTAATAACAACTACCACGACAGTGGTGAGTAGACTTGCTTTCAATTTTTTTAAAATTTAATGGTGAATATCTTGTGTGTTTTTCAAGATAACTTACAAAGAGAAGTCCAAAATCCAAAACCTCAGATTTGAAAACTCCAACAAACAACCATTTGTATTTATATGTTTGTCTTTATATGTAAGAGGCACAACTCGTAGAACCCAGGAGTCATTCTCTGCAGAAAATCACAAATCTTTTCTTCCCAGACCAAAAATAAATAAAAAAAATCAAGGAATCTAGTGTTGTGCACCGTTTTTTGAACAGTAAACAGAGACCACATGCTTCCTTTTTTTTTTTTTTTTGATAATTGACGTGTTTGGAGGTTAGTAGGCACGTTTTTCACTATAAAGTATAAAAAGAAGAGGAATATATTCAATTTTTGCAGTGATTTTCGGAAGGATTACTAGTCTTTACCTTTTTTTTGTTTGTTTTGTTTTTTGAATGGAGATATAGAGAGGTTAGTTGTGCATGATTTTACAATGAATTTACCACAATGCGTCAACGCAACTTTTTTCTTCTTTTTCTAATTTTCTTTCGGTTAAGTGGTCCATGAAAATTAGGAAAGATGGTCTTTTTCAATTTTGATAAGAAATTCCCAAGTAATTATGGGCTTATTCGGTTGTATTTTTGAGTTATGGTAATTTGAGTGTAAATTTTAAGTTGAATTTGAGTTGAAGTTGTAACTTGAGTTTGTGTTTGGATGTGCACATTTAAGTCATGCTCTGAATTGAGAATCTATTAGAATTTGTATTTAGATAAGTCAAAACTTAAATTTATATTTAGATAATATTTTAATAAAAACTCAATGGTGATGAAAAATTTTAATAGGGTATATAGATGAAGTTTTATTCGTCTTTTCATTGTAAACGCATAGAAAAAAATAATCTCAATCGGAATTAAAACGAAAAAGTTATGATGTTTTTAAAAATATAAAAAATATTGTTCATTAACTTGAGTTTGAGTTTAGAAACTTGAGTTGAATGAGAAACTTGAACTAAGATTCCCAAACTCAAGTTAAAATTCAAATTTAGAATTTGAGTTTAGAATTTTGCCGATTCAAGTTTTGCTACAGTAAAAAGCTCTCAGAAACAGTCACATCTAACTTTTTTGCTACAGTAAAAAACTCTCACATAACGTCACATCTCAATTCGAATTAAAAACTCGAATCAACGAACTAAACGGAAACTAAACTCAAATTTTACATAAATTTAAATAAAATTATAATTTGAGTTTAAATTTTTTTTAAGTTTTACTTTAAAAGAACAAGCCATACAAGATTCAAGCAAAAAATATATTATTATGGCATTGTCAATGAACCTTCATTCCTTGCTTAAGGAACCACTTTATGATGCTGAAAGCCTAAGATAAGCACAACATGCTTTTTGGATCCCTTGTCCAGAGGCTTCTTTTTGGCCCCAAAAGAGGGACTTTGGAAAAGTACCGTCTTCTTCTAAAAGGTAAAAGACAAGGATTTTTTTTTTTTTTTTGCTAATAAAAAAGACAAGGAAATTACACCAAAAAAACCTCACAAGAATGCTGCAGAGTTTATGCATATTTAAAAAAGAAAAGATAAATAAATAATTGATTTTTTTAAGGAAATTACATCAAATTCAAGAAATGGTAAAGAAAGTCCAAGTACGTGCTTCAACTTTTTGAATTTTTAATTTCAAACTAATCTCAAGTAAACTACAGTGCTTAGTTTATGTAATTTTCATCGCACTGTGAAATTTTACATTTGAGAGAGAAGGAAAAAAAAAAAAAAAAAAACTGTACGACTCAGCGCATCATAAAATGCTAAACTTAAGCAAGAAACTGCGGTTAAATTTGCCTCTTTTCCTTTTCTAATTTCTACTATTATGATAAGGTTCTAACCCCACCGTCCAAATATGTCAGTATCATAACCAAATAGTATTATACAATATAATACTTAATCCAATACTTTACATTTTACTGTATTAATAAAATAGTAAGTGGGGGAAAAGAAAAGATCTTTTCCGGTATAACAATATACCGGTAAGTTAAATTTTTTGTCTGTCAGATTTACATAAAATCACGTGAAAGTAAAAAAATACCAAATCCAACGGTTAAAAAAATTATGGCCTATTGATACGCCATGTGTAGCAGAAAATCTCTTAAAAAGAAAAAAAATGATATTTACGGGCTCGTTTAGTTCACTGATTCAAATTTTTAATTTGAGTTGAGATGTGATTTTATGTGAGAGCTTTTTACTATAACAAAACTCGAATTTTAAACTCGAATCAGCGAAATAAACGGTGCCTTTTTTGCCTGTCTTTTTGGACGTTTTGTGTTTTTGGAAAAGGAAATCAGAGTAGTGAATAATGAACAGAATAGTGAATAATGAACAACAAATTACATCAACTACTATTTTCTTCTATTCAGCCAAAAAAAAAAAAAAAGAACTACTATTTTCTTCCTTAGGTCTATTTTCTAGCTTACTTTTTTATGCTAAAGCATCTTCATTTTATTAATTCCTATAAAAAAAAACTCTTTCTTTTTTTGTTTTTTGTTTTTCCCAAATAATGGAATTTTATACCCTTATTACTAGGGTGTCCAGTTGTGGACCACCTAAAGTAATACATCTTTACATACATGCTTCTATGATCACTTTTTAAGTGTTCAATCTTTGCAAATTTTCAATAAAATGCTTTTCTCAGTTTCGGCCCTTTTGGTGCTCCTTAGAATGTGATGAAATATGATGTGGATTTCCACCCAAACGCAAAACTTCTCATTAGAGACAGCAAGCTGCAACTCAGCTCAAGGGCAAATGCAACAAGTTGGGCCGTCAAGAAACTGGAACAGGCCCATATACCAGAAAGATGGAGCCCACCGTGGCCTTCACACAGTGAAGCTTAAAAAAATAGAGAAAATAGCATAATTTACCCTAATTTTTACCTTTTATTTTTTATTAATACCTTTTTGTTTGTGTATTTATTTGACTAAAAATATTATTAATCAATAATAGTGGATAAAAATTCTAACTCATGTACTTCTAACTTCTAAGTGGTATTTGTCTCTTTTCCTCTTAAAATTAAGAAAAAAGTACATGATTAGTATGGTTTTGTACATGCTTATTACTTATACCATTTTAAATAATAATTGTTTATTTCTAAGTAGAGTGATAAATAATATTTTTCACTATTTTGAATGGTATTTTTTGTTTTTCCTTTTAAATATAGAAATTTTTTTAAAATATTTCAAGAATAACAAAATTTGTAATATGATAATTATTATTTCCTTTTTATTAATACTGTAATATTTTAAAATTTTTGCTAAATTTCAATTTACAGATAGGAAATTTTACCGTTTAGTAATTATCTCATGAAATCGCCGCAAAAATACTAGTTGACTCACTATTATTGAATCCCAACAACAAAAACAACTTGCGAAATACCTCTATAATGTGTTGTGCGAATCGATATTTATGGGGTAATCTTAATAAATATCTCTTAAAAATGCATAACTCTTTTAGTTAAATAATTACACTAATAAAAAAATATTTATTAAGAATAATAGATAAATATCTAAACTGCACTCTGAAAGTAAATTCTCTATTTTTTTCATATTTTAGACCCGTTTAGTTTGCTGATTTGAGTTTTTAATTTGAGTTAAGATGTGATATGAGAACTTTTTACTGTAGTAAAAAAATTAGATGTGACTGTTTCTGAAAATTTTTTACTATAATAAAACTCAAATTCTAAACTCGAATCGGTAAAATAAACAATTTTATTAGTGATAGTTGTGAGCAAAGTTCTCTTTTGTTTTATTTTGAGCCATTGACGCTTAACAACTTTTGGATCTCCCTAATCTTAGTTAAGATAAGAAAATCTGCATTGGGGTCTAACATTGTTTTTTCAGGCCAATAATTTGTCGGTTCAAAGTTGCATAATAGGTATAGTACACATCTTGCAATTGAAGGAGATGATAGCAATTAGTAGGCAGTTGATGTATATGAAACTTTACGGCTTCATTTTTTGTAATCAAGTTTCCTTGATCCGTTTTCCCTTACCTTGTTAATCATATTTAAGGAAGTAAATAATATTTCTTGAAACTAATTTTGATAAACTTGTGGCATTCATAAAACTACTTGATGACTTGATCATAACTTACATATAATATTATCAAAATTAAAAAAAAAATTAAAAAAAAAAAAAAAAAAAAAAAAAAAAAAACACAAAAAGCCACATTTACTATTATCCTAAAGTAAAACACAAAAGAGTACTACTAATACGCACTTCCTTCCACAAACGCTCAAGAAGCATATGATCCCCACATGGAAGTCCAAATTCATGAAGTGCAAGCAGGTACTAGGCACCTTGAAAAGATTCCCAGCCTTTTCTTCTACAAAAAAAAAAAAAAAAAAAAAACCCAACAAAAAATGAGTAATTATAAGTATATATAATATAGCAATCTGTAAACAAATTGACAAATAAAAAGAAACAAAAATATGAACATATATTTCCTCCAAAATGATGAACAAACATCAACAACGAAGAAACTTTTCGCTAGATGATCAAAGTTAAGGTCAAAAGCGGCTTTGAATTTAGAGGCGCACAAAGAAATAAGTTATCAAACTAGTGTTGAAACTTGGCGCACTATACGACAATATATACTTGTCTTTGTGAGTAGATCACCAAAACAACGCTCTGGCCACGGATGACAGATGCAGAATTGGTCAAAATCAAGCTAATATAAAAGATAGGATCACAGCTAGTATTATCCATCCAACTTGAAAAAGACAAAGTTATGAGGTAACTTTGCGATGCATCTTCCATGAAGAATTGCATGAACGTGACATTTTATGGCTGCACAAACATAAAAATAAAATAACATGGTCTACTCTTTAATGTTTTGTTAAATAAAATCATTTTTTTTTACTTAGAATAGAGAATTTAAATTGTTCATTCCAAATTAAATGAAAAAAACTCGTAAACAATTATAAATGATAATCGCTACATGTGACTGTGTGAGTCATGAGACAATAGTAAAGCAGAGTTATGAAGAGATAATGATAAAAAATTGGAAATATCAGAGAGAGAGAGAGAGAGAGAGATGAGTGGGACCCACCCGCTTGGAAGCGTGGAGGAGCTCAGGAGGGATTTTGTAGAGATCCTCGTCAACGGGCTTGGGAAGGCGATGAGGAGGAGCGCCAGCGCCAGAGCCAGCGGTGCGAGAGACGGCCTCGTTTCGAAGGGGCTTTCGTTGCGGTTCCGTTACGTCACAGACTTTGGCTTGCTGTTGCTGCTTTTTCTGCTCCTTAACATGCGGGCATCGCTTCTCTCTCCCACCTCTTGTCTGCAACATTTTCATCATCGTCTAATATATTATAATTCATAAACATTTTTTTTTTTCATTTTCAAAAAATTCCCTTTTTTTTTTTTTTTTTAACTCTTTCCTTTCTAAGGCACTGTAGTACTGGAAACGGAATTGTTTGGGTACTGAGAAAGTTGCTTTTGAGGGAAAAGCAATGTGACTGGTAGTGGTAGAAAACTAGAAAGCTAGTCTTGTCAAAACTGAAGGTTTGCTCATTTTTCTCTACCAAAAAGTGAACTCTGAAAATTAACCCGCAGTGGCACTACTAGTAGTCGTACTTGTAGGAAACAACAAAAAGACCCACCACTATCTTATCACTCACATTACTCAAGTGAAAATTTTACTGAAAAGTGAAAATCCCAAAAATTAAAAACATTTGCTTTGTAAATACTTTTAAAAAAAAAAAAAAAAGCTAATAATGTGAAGAAAAAAAAAAAAGAAGTTACCTTTCGACCGGGAAGAGGATTATCAACGGTGCGAGCTGAAGGCTTGATCTTCTGGGGATATTGATCCACCGCGTACAAGTCGCCACGGATCAGGTAGGGATCAGAACTGTCGCCGGAGGAGGAGCTGTAGCGGATCAAACCCGCTTGCCTTGCGCACTCGAAGTACTGAGTGATTGGCAGGTCGTTTGAGTAATCCCAGTTCCCAAACGCCGGAATTTGCCCACTCTTTTTGTAGTAGTCCTGCACAAAGGACGACATTGTTATAGAGCGCCACTACAGCAAAACGACAATGGCAAAAAGAACAACAATACCACGAGCTTACATGATGAAACGTTGCGTCCATTTTTTTTTGCTTTGTGGATTGTGTGTTGTTGTTGTTGTTCGGAGCAGAAAAGGCCAAAAAAATAACAAACACAGAAGATGGATATGAAAGTTACAAGAAGAAAGCTAGGAAAAGTCGTTGCAAAAGTTTAGATTATTTTTTTCTTTTCCCTCTTGGCTTTTTCCTCTTCACCTTTGGCGTCGAGTTATGGAGGATGGAGGGAGAGAGTTAGGTTATTATAAGTGGGTATGGAAGCAAAAAGGCACAAGAAGCGCTGGGATATCCCAGAGATAAATAAATTCTGCTCAGAATTAGAGGAAAGAATCTAGAGAGAGAGAGAGAGATGGATAGATTTCTTACTAGATTTATGGTGTACAGTGGAACAGTACTGAACAAGAAAAACAGAGACCTGTTTAGGTGGGCTTTGGGGGTGGTCTTTTTTCAACTTTTTGCAGGAAAGAAAGAGCGTATATAAGTAGAAATTGTCGCTGCCTTTGGCTACTTTTTGAATGGTGGTAGTTGATGATGTATCTAATCCGAAGGCCATGCCTAACAAAAACAAATGTTTTTTTTTTATTTTTTTTTTTTTTTTTTTTTTTTTTTTTCTGAAAAAAACAAGTTATTGTTTGGTTTTTGTTAATTTCTTATTGGTTCACGCTGTAGACAGTTCCCACCTTGATTTAGATCTCGGGGAATCTGTTAACTGTCGTTTCCAAAAGTTGGGTATGGACCATTTCCAATAAAATAAAAAATGACAAGAAGAATAATAGAAAAGTTGGGTATGAAAGTCCGTCTATAAGTATGACTAATTAAGCTGATACAGTCAAAAAATTGTTACAAAATTATAGTAATAATGTGGCTGCTTGACAATATTTCCCATTCTTGCCTAACAATTTGACAGCACTATGGTGCTTCTTCCACCGAAAACAATACACTCCAATTATTCAATGAGTAGTCATTCACCCTCATATGGAGTTTAGAACCCGGGCCTATTGACCACTAGAATAAACAACATTCGTTGAATAAGGTGAATTGAATTTGAGAGGACGCATGTAGTGATACATGAAAAACTTACTAGCAAAAACACTGATGTAACGACAATATTTACAGATAGTATGTACACTTTTTAACATAGTATCTCTTCAAATATATTAGAACAAAGTACAATAGGCATGCAAATATTATGAAGTAAAAAAAAAAAAAAAAAAAAAAAAACAGCCTCGGATGTTTTCTATTTATATCCGGACTTGACAAAGAGGTTGTGACGGAATTTTGAAGTAATCCGTTATTAGGCACAAAAACAATTGTTAGTCCACAATCATGGCGTCTCAATCATATTTGACTGCTTCTCTTCATTACATGTCCGTACTAGGGAACGGATTAGCAAGAAAGTTCCTCTTAAGCTCAATTACTAGCCAGCCTCGAAATCTGGTGATATAAGATAGTGGTGATCAGAATTTAATGTTTAACGATTTCTTTTTGACTTCTCGCTAATTATAAAGGAAGGAAAACTGCCCTTTTAAGAGAGGCGAAGATAGAAAAGGCAAATTGTGCAACGCAGAAAAAGACGTGATCAGTACGGGCAAAGAACACTGCCATACGGCAAAGATAATTTAATCGATTATTAACAGAACAACTTCAAGAGGCTTGGAATAGGATCGCGATGAAAAAGATGATACTTGAGCTTGCACTTATTACCGTTTACTATTGCTTTTTCCCTTGTAGGTCTTTACTCTTTAGAGATGTTGCAGTACTACTTATTAACCAGCTACGTACTTTTGTATTTTTCATTAATATAGTTCGGCAATTTTCACGGAAAGTGTAAACCGTACTTTGTTATGGGCAAGTTACCAACTTTTAGGAGTAGGGTTGTTCATAGATTGGGTTAGTATGGGATACAATTTTTTTTTCCCGCCTTAAAGAGTGCGAGTTGCACATATTTGACCCTAATAATATTAAAAAAATTTGACAACCCAACGATGTTCGGGTTAGGTTGGGACGGTGCTGGGTGGGTTGGGTGGTCGGTTTCAACATTCAAAAAATTAAAGACTTAAAGTTCAATATAATATTCAAATTTCATCATTAAATAGAAATAGTAACAATCTTTATCACTCCTCTAACATCAAACATGAAACAAAATAGTCCATCCAACATCAAATACAAAGCAAACATAAATTAGTCTACACTTATAAATTAGTCTTAACATAAAACAAATAGCTTAAGCAAAGCAAACATAGAGACTTAAATCTTAATTCAAATCCATCCAAAGCAGGCATTGCAACATCAATCATCTTTATCAATCCACACTCATAGGCTCCTCAATGATTATAGTAGGACATGAAGTTGAGTTATCTACAAGAGAAATGAAAATAGCTTAAGTAATAATTTGGATAGTTTAGAGTTCATATAATAAAATAGATTAAGATACATACAAATTATTGTCTTACCTAGAGATGTCTTACCTAATGTCAGTGAGCCTAGGGTAGAACTTGAGCAGGTTGGGCTTAGGTCGAAAGCTTGGGGGTATATTGTGCGGGTTGGGTTAAGAATTACGGGTTGTTATGGGCCCAACCCGCAATCCGTCCCAAACACTTCAGGCCAGAGGTATAATGGGCTGAAAATTTAAAATTAATGCTGCGTGTTGTTTTTTTCAATTTGGGTTGGGTCTGCGGGTTGTTCGGGTTTATGAACAGTCCTATTTAGGAGTGAGATCGCCTGTCCAAAAATTGTTGTCCCGAATTCTGTCAACCCAATAAAATAACGCCACGTCATTGATGAATTTAAGATTCAGTTATGGGTTAACTCCGTTTATTTTTCTCTCCCATTTATTTCTCTTCTCGTTTTTCTCAAAGGGACTGTTCATCTCTTACAACTCAAACCTCCGTGTTGATCTGCGGAACCAGAAGAGTTCTCTGGGGAAAGGCGGCGGCGACACCGGTACAGATCTGAAGGCAACACAGACGACGAAGGCGGTTACAGATCGAACAACGGCAATATTATGATTCCAATGTCGTATTCGGTTTCAGCATAGGATTTTGGGTTTGTATGAGGAAAGAAGTGTTCTTTCGATCTTTTCCGTGAAAATGGTAGAGGTAGTGGAGTTTGGATTGGTGTTTTGCAGCCATGGCATGAATTTTGGACGATTAAAATTATTGGAAATGGCCGAGGGAGTTTAGACGCAACTGATTAAGAGAGTGAAAATCTCGTCGGTGAGACCGTCGGAGGAGACACCAGCCGCCAAGATGGACGGAACGAAGGCGGAAGCTAATACTATTACTATCACAGAAGGTGGGGAAGGCGGCGAATTGGGGAGGGAAGATATATATATATATATATCCTTTTATTCCAAAAAAATTGATTCATGAATTAATTCCTTTTCAATAGTCGGAATTATAGAGGCATGTGAATGTAATTTGGACAGTTGGACTGGAGTAATCTTTTGCCCTTTTTGAACCTTGATGACAGATGGAAACCATTTGCTTCTCTCACGTAATGGAAATTGACGTCGGGTTCTCATCCGTTATAAAACGGAGTTATTCGATCGTTTATTTTATCAATTTAAATTTAAAATTTTAATTTAATTATAATAAAAAAATTTAAAAATA